TTGCACTCCTGCAGGAATACTACATTGTAAGTGATGATGAAGCAAAGCACAGTGCTCCATCTGAACTTCTGCAAAGCAGCAGGCAGGACTTTTCCAGGAGGAATATCTATTTAAGTGATTTCCTACTGCAAATCAACAGGCTATCAAGTGATGGCTTTGTCTGCTTAAGCTCAGAGACATTTCTTTAAAAGGGCCTTTGCTCAGTAGTCACAAGTAATCAATCAGTCAGTTACTTCCTCCCTTGGCTATCTGTGCTTGAAGATGAAAAAAAACCCCAAAAAACAAAAAACCCACCCCCCCAAAAAAACCCCCAAATCTAAACAAAAAACTCCACAGAAAGGGACAGTCCTGTCTTGCCACAACAGGGGTGTTCAGTGGCTTGAGACTGGTGCCTGTGCTCCTGAAAACAAGGGTGCTAAAACAGCATTATGCTGTACTTCAAGCAGATGTGCAGCAGAGGATGCTTCATCATTTCATATTCTCCTCAGGTTGGAAGGCTTTTAGGACTGACATTGAATCTGTGAGTCACTGACTGCTCTGGAAAGGCTTACTGGTGAATAAGATGAAATTTCTGTCATTTATGGTGTCTGAGAAGGTTTTTCAACTTCAAGAGAAAAGAATTTATTCAGTTTCCCTGACACTTAGTTATACACACAAGTTTTAAATGGCCATTTTCAACTCTTGAACTCCTGTGACTTAGTGAGATGTTATGATCTGTATTACATCTGCTGTAGCAGTATTTAAACAAACATCCTTAATAAAATCTTGATTGCTTCCACCATCTAGAAATCCTGTTTTGTACTTCACACATTTTATTTTCATACCTCAGAAGTCAAAACACCAGAAGGCAGGAGTTTGGTCTGGTAACCATTAAATTAGTTGCACCCTGATACAAAACCAACTTGCTTACCACACCCTTTATACTTGTCAGTTTATTCAGTGAATTGGCTGCAAGGACTGTCTAAAAATTCACTTCTATCTCCTCTAAATGTTGTTTAAGTCAGCAGTCTGTCCTCTATTCACCTCTTTTCAGTGTGAAACACAGGCACACACAGCCATGTCAGGGGTTGTGCAAGAAGAAGATTATGAGGGTGGATCCACTTGTTTTGATCTCCTGGCAGAGCACTGTGGCTCACCCTGCTACCACCAGGCTGTGGGGCTGCTCCTGAGCCACCTTCTTGCCCCTTTTCCACTCCTAAGCTCTCTTCTTTCTCCCCTGTTCTTGTTTTCTCCCTGAAATTAATAAATTAACGTGCATGTCTAGCAGGCACCACTTGCAAAGAGCCAGACCTTGATGTTCTTGAGGGTGAGGAGCCAAATTTTTGCTATGGAAATGAACTTGAGTGCTGGAAGAGCTGCGTTGACACAGAAGGGAGGCGTGCAGAGGGATGAGTGTGGAGGTTTAAGTCACATCTTATTATCACAAGACCTCAGGGCACTGGCTAATCAGCAGGGGTGTAGCTTTATTGGGAAAAGTGGCTTTTATGATATTCATGTCTGTATCTGAAACATTCCATTTCAGTGAGACACCAGAGGCACTTCATGAGCCGCTGGAGTGCTGCATCCCAGCCATAAATAACAATTACTGGGAGACTCTTCCAGGGCATGCCAAGCCCCAGTGTGTGGGAAGGGATAAAGCACATCACTTCTCGTGTCTTTCAAGTATGCTCTTCCCAACTTCCCAACAGAAACTAAGGTGAATGTCAACATACATGGCAGACCTCTTTCTTCTCTCAGCATACTCTTTTTCCTGTAATCCAAGTATTGGGACATATTTCTTCCACCTACTACATATTTTGACCTAAAAATGCAGATTTGTGCACTGTGAGTTGTAGTTTTCTCCTCATAGGATCAGAAAGCACTTTTGGGATAAAGAATCCAGAACAGGGAAGCAAAAACCTCATTTGACAGTGTAAACAGAAGACTTTGCACTTCACTTGTTGGACATCCTGTCTAGAATAGGTTGGCAAATTGCCCTAGGCTTTGTTAATGCTGGCTAGCAAAATATTCCATAAACAAAGCAGAAGACAATCTGGTTTCTAACATGATTTGTCCAGTCTTTGAGGAATAAAAGCAAACTTTTTAACACTAAAACCCAACACAATCAACCAGCCAAACTAGTGGAAGGATTGAAATGAGCTACATATCATTCAAAAAACCAAACCAAAGGTAGGCATCAATGACCCAGAGCCAGAATTCAAGAAGTCAAGTCATTTGAGTATAGAATAAACAGTGGAGGGACACCAAGCAAAACCAAATTTCTGCATATCCCTATTTCAGGATTAGGTTAAAGAGCAAAAGGTCTGTTCACCATCTCCTTCTGGAGACTAAACCAGGATATATGCTAGTATATCAGTAAGCACCAGGGTATATTCTTCTGTTAGAAGAACATTTTATCACATACATTTGTTCTTATCAGAGGCTGAAAGACAAAAGCACTCTTCATCCTGCACTTAACAACAACAGGTGACAATCTGTTAGCAGCAGAGTAAACACTGCACTTTATCAAGCATTACTTCATTTTCACTCTTCTGTTTCCATCTCTTTGTGTCCTTGTAAAGACTGGGCAGCAGGTGTGAAACAAGGACTACTAAATGTTACAGAATTCCAAGTAATACACCCAAACCCTGCTTTGTTTCATGATAAACACGTTTAGCTCCAACATGTGCAGTTGTTTTAAGGTATTTTTATCCTGAATTGAGCATTTAAGGATGTTATGACAATTTGATATTTCATGTGAGCCTATTAAATATGAAACACCGATGATCATAAAAATAAAAAAATAGTGTGAAATAGATAATATTGATGTTCTTGCAAAGTGATGCTGCAGCCCAGCCATTCAGCTTGTGTTTCTCTGTGTGTGTGTGTGTGTGTTCTCTCCTCACCCTGATATGGCTGGACTTGCCAGAATGTCTCATTTCTCCCCTTCTGGCTGCAGTTTCCCTGCATGAAAACTGGATAGGGTAGAGATGAATAAAGGGTGGGAATACAGATGTCACCCCCGTTCTGGATGAAGACAAGGCACACAGGGAGCTGAAGAGCACTGCTGAGGCATGCAGTACGACCACAGATAATGCAGCCAAGACAGGGCCTTAGGCAGCAACTGGCTTTGCAGCTCTGTCTAATCTCCAGGCTTATAAGGGAATGCCTTCTGACATTGCCCCTTTTGCTGTGTAACTCTTCTTACCTGTAAGAAAAAGCTTCAGCAGCTCCCTGAGACATTCCCAAACAATAGCTACAGTAATCTGTTTATAATGGGCTCCTGCTGCTTGGTCCACTGCACTGATATTCTGAATTTTAACGGCATTCCTTTATTTTAAACATGCCACCAAGAGTAAATATTTAATGGGCAGCGATCCCTAAACAATAGGGTTTAATTTCTCATTTACCAGGAATATGGGAGTAAATCTGTATTCAGTGCCCTGTAATAAAACACAGCTCATAAAGTAATATTATGCTTTGGAATATAAATATGAGGCATTATACACAGCATGTAACTTAATCATTCTTGACTCTGGTATAAATGGTTGGAGGTGAATGCCACCTAGATTAATACTAATTACACCTTGCACCTTTATGAACAGACTGAAGCACTTATCAGCCATGCACACAAGCAATTTGTTCTAAGCCACACAATGAGTCAGTGGCAAACAAAGGAGAGGAAACAAGGTTCCTTTATCTGCCAGACTTCTCCTGAGCCAGCTCCTCGCCAACAAGAATTAAAAGCCATTTCATCCTTCATAGCTACTTTTTGTCAGTGTTTCAGCAGAGTTATAAACTCAGCCTCACAATGTATTAAAAAGCTTTGTATAAGTAAATACATAAATATATTTATATGTTTGTGTATGTTTGTGTGTATTTTTAAATATGACAAAACATAAACCTAATGGATTAAAGCCTCAAAACTCCTAAAGTAGCTTAAATTTAGTATCTGAACATATCACTAAAGAAAAGAGTACTACTCTAAAAGCACACATTTATTGTATAAACCTCAGTACTTTGTGCAGCCTTTAGGATTACTGTACTACATTTTTATACTTCTTTAAATAACCACTGGGTGTCACAGTTATCAACAGAAAATGCTTGGGGGACTTCTCCAGGTTCATTTCAATCGGGATTCAGATTATCAGAGGTCAAACCAATTCCTATACCTGTAATGTTAATACCCACTCCCATTCCAAGAGGAGAAAATGGCTTCCTCAATTAAAAAAAAAAAAAATCAGAGTTAATACAAGCTGTGTTCTTTTAAAAAAATGTAGCAAGATGGAGATTTCTCTTTCAAATTTAGCCTACAGGTAAGATTTTGTCATACTGCACGTTTGTGAAGTTCACTACTGGAGTGGAATGAGGCAATTCTAGATTTCATAGACTTGAGAAAAAATTTCCATAGGCTTTCTCTTTCAAAAATTAAGTGACATGAGAAACAATTATGTCTTCTCCACTTCATAAGAATACCATTCACTCTAAATATTTTGGCATTATAAATAGCATAGCCTTATGCTTCAGGTCCCAGCTCTCAGAATCACACAACTAGCAGGAGAACGTGAGTTTTCTTAATTTAAAAGTAAGTGTATGATCTTCACCACAGAAAAGAAATTGTGACCCCAGCGACTATTCAGATTTGCAAATAACAGCTTTAAATCATGCAAACTGCTCTGTGTCTTTGTTCAGCTGTCAGCCCCAAAGGAACAAAGGGCTGCTCACCTCCCCAAATCTCCATGAGATGAGGATTTCACCCACCCACCCACGTGTGTGTCTCACACCTGCAGAACTGGAGAGCTGCTCCGTGCACCCAAAGCACGGGCAGCACCAAGTAAACCAAGCACCAAGTGAACCTGCAATTCCAGAGACTGTGTCACCATATAGGTGATGCAAATGAGCCATGAGGAAAGGCTGGCATGGCTGGGACACTTGGGGGAAGGCAGAGTGGACAGCCAAAGGACTGGGGCTCCTAAGTGCTTAGGAATGGCTGCAGGATATTTGGGAAGCCTCTGTCTTACCTGTGTTAAGGGATACTGGTCTGGAGCAGATGCTAAGAGCACTCAGGGATTCATGTTTGGGATAATTCTGGACAGCAGAGTCTTGGGGATCTTTGCCAGGACCTGTAAGATGTAAAGAAAGGAGGAGAAAGGTATTTCATGGATATCTCCTGTATCTTGGAGTATGACATTTGAGGGCTGAATTAAGGAGTGTGGGTCAGTTACCAACTGCCACATTTCTCATTCCCTACTTTTTCTTACCCATCTTCAAAAATGGGGACAACTAAAAATGGAAGCAGAGAACTGACCTAATCCCTGAAAATCAGGCTCCACAGAAGCACCTACGGTTCCTGGCCACAGTTCAGGTGAGAGATGCAGGCTGAGACATGGGCAGGTGAGACAGAAATGCCAAACAGGCACTGTCATGAGAGATGTGCAACACATGGCGGGCACCAGCCTCTCTCCCTCTTTCTCTCTCTCTAGCAAATCACCCTGCCCTGCCCAGCATTTTCTAACTCCTCCATTTCAGCCACTTGCTGCCTGAGCAGCTAAAATGACTGTCTCAGCCAGAAACGTGATTTTTATTTTCTTTTTTTCCCCCTTTTAATCTATATTCATCCAAGTCCAGCTGCACAGAAAAAGGCACATGCAGGAGAATGCAAGCATTATCTAATACATAAAAGATGGATGCAGAGAGGAAGAGAATTAAGCTGTTCTTCATGCCCAGCATGGCATGATAAGAAGTAATGGGTGTGAACTGCAGGTGGGAGTTTTAGACTAGACATTAGAAATGGCTTCTTTTACCAGTAGGCATAATAAGGACTTGAATAGATTGCTTGAGGAGGCTGCAAAAGATTTCAAAAACAGGTTAGACAAACATTTATCAGGAATCATATTGGTAGGATTCGTGTTTGCAGACTGGAGCAAGGAATGGATTGCTTAAAGTTCTGTTCTCCTGTGGTTTTTTGATCCAAAGATGCCTAATGACCTATTTTTTTACTAAGGATTGGTCTTAAACAAATCTCACAATCTTAAAAACCTGCCAGCAAAATAATAAGAAGGACTTCTTAAAAAATAAACATTATTCCAATGCCTTCTCTTAGTCAAAAAGCCCTCCCACTCTGCAACACATTCAACTACAAAGCTGAATAGAGTCAGTAAAATACTGAAAGCATTAGCAGCACTGCTAACACTGAGGCAATAATACAGCAAGTGATCTGAAATCCCCATTTCTTTTGACCAACTTCTTGCCACTTGCACCTTTCTGTCCTTCTTGGCACCCCAACACAATACATAATTTTCTAAATTACTTGAGCTTTTCTGCACACTTTCATTAACATAGCAGGTGCAGTTATTTAGACCATTAATGTCCTAGCAGTAGTGGAAGCTGGGAGTGACCCCACTGCAAATTAACAGTTCAGACACAAGAGGTGAATGGTGCTTTAAAATACAGCTGGAAATTTTCCACTGTACCCAAACAGGACTCGGTCCAAGGTCCTTGTCCCAAAGCTGCCCTCTTAACACAAGTCACTTGAGCTGGAGGAGAAAAGCATTACAGATTAATTCTGGTTTGTGGAGAAAAGAGGCTCTTTTCTTCCAGCTGAAGTTAAAAGCTGCCAGCAAACATCAGCGACCTATTTGGAAATTTTGGACTGACTCCTCATGTGATTTGACCATGGACTTTTTCTCCACTTTCTATTGTATTATTTCTATGAAGTCAGTCACCAAAAGCTTCTCTGAGTCAAATTCATTCTTTCTGCTCTTTCTCTTCACACTGCTGTGCCACTATTTGTCTTTCCTTTCCCATTCCCATCACTTCTCAGCAATAATTTCCCTTCCAATAGTTTGAAAGAGTGATGCCAACATTAAGAATAAATGTACAGGAGGAGGGAGGGAAATCCCCCCTATTCAACCTGTTCTGTCCATATTACCTTTCCATTTTGTCTCCTCTTTCTAAACTGTAAGCTTGCAGGGGCATGGACAGACTTAAATTCAAACTAAATATCTACAAAAGTCTAAATATCTACTAAATATCTAAATATCTACTTTGCCTGGGTCTGCTGGTATTACTGGTGCATGGACATTAAAACATTGCATTTATGTACTGTAAATAATGCAATGTAATGTAATGTCAGACTGTGGCTACTATTGCATACCTCAGGAAACAGAGAGAATAATCGAGGCATTCTTCTTGAAATATTACAAACGTTTATGAAAAAAAGGAGATGCCAAAAAAGGACAGTGTGATAAAACATATTGAGAATGTGCTGGTCACATGTCAAACCACACTGAGCATTCCTGAATACAGAACAGGCCACGGAGCGGGGTCCCACAGCGTGTGTTTGGTAATTGCATCACCTGTGCTACATATTCTCAATAACTTTGGTTAAACTACCTGAATTATTACTCATGTAAGCCTATAGTTAAAAGCAGGATATGGCTGCACAGCTCAGCACAGCACTCCTACCAAGTAACTCCAAAACAAGATGCTGCAGAGGTGTATCACCAGGGTGCTCCACCCCGGTAATGAGCACAGCAGCAGCTGGGAAGGAGGGCTGAGGTGGAGACCTGCACCTTCCATAGCCCCAGCCCAGTGTCCCTCTGGGAATGGGAATGAGGAACAGGACAATTGTTAGATCCATCTCACTTCAAAGACTCTAAGAAACAGCCTTCTGCTGTCTACATAGCACAAATGGATATAAAGTGCTATAAATGCTTCTCTTTTAACTGAGAGACCTCTCTAAGACTCCAGTCCTTCTTGCTCACAACCACCCAAATTGCTCTTCTTCTGCAGAGCTAAAATGATGGCAATGTGATCAGAAGTCACAGCAAATTGAGTGTTACATTATTATTGATTAATTACATCATTAAACACATTCTAATTTGTTTCAGTGGACCCTATGTGGCCTCACACAGGTAAGAATCACAAAAAATGTGCACTGAAGCCAATGGAGCTTACACACAGGTGTAAGCCAGTGTTAAAACAATGTAAATCCCATCTAGGTGTACAAACAACAGCCTCAATATGTCATCTACCTGAATTCATTAAAATAGCAGTCTATACCAAATACTACTTGGGCTAATCACCACGAGTCATACCCAGTGAACCTCATTTTAATATTCCTTGTTCTTGTTCCTCATTTTGATGTTCCTTGTTCTTCCTCACAGAAGACTTCTGGAGTGTAAAGAGAGCAGGATTAGGCCAAACAATTCCATGAGCTCATTAGCTGCACACCACAAACACAAATCAGACACGTGTAAGAATAAAGAGCCAGTTTGGCGAGATACCATGGTGCCAAGTCAGGTCAGTCAGGTTATAATAAATTTTAATTAGCACTCTTCCAAGTTTCAGTGTTATTTATTTGCATGCCAGTGTCACTCAGAACAATCCTCTTTCCTCCCTATGAAAACCTTGGAGGAAAACTGAAAGAAAAATTTTCAGCCTGATCTGGACAAAGAGAAATCCAATGTAATGACAAATGAAAATGATAGGTGAACTTGAAAACTCTTAACAAAAACAACTTTAGAAATGAGAAGACTGATATCAGTCTGATATCCACTGATAAAGAAACAAAAAGCATAAATCAGCACAGGTTGAACACCACAGAAGACATGATTTCTACTATTCTATTTTTGATTATGTTTATCCAAGCAGCAAAAATTTCCTATCTCAGAGGTTTTATATTGCCTTGCCCCTGAAAATATGGTCCCTTTTGAAACATTGCTGTGTTATTCCCTAAGGAATACAAAGGTCCAATGCAAAATTCAGCAGGTTGAGCATTCTAGACAGTTTCATTAAAAAGAAATTAGTATTTTAATTATTTTTTGAAAATGCTTGATAGTGCAATAACTATGCAATATTATTCATCAAGGCTTGTTTCAAAAGCCAAGTCATAGAAGCAGTTGTTGACAATATGAATCTGCCTCAATTTACTGCCTTCTAGTCAAAAAAATCCAGACTATCCATAGGGTATATCCATAGGGTACTGAATATCCATAGGGTTTGTTCCATATATTAAATTATTTACAATTTAAATTAATGTTTATACATGTTTGTGTTATATAGGTAAAATGAAAAAAGCCATTAAAGGTGTTCAAAGACCTAGCCAAAATTGCTGTTCCTATGACAAACTTTTGATCATATGTGAAGTAGCATAGTCTTATTATCCACTTAATATTTGCAATGTATTTCATTACCAATATTTTTTAATATTAATAAAACACAAATATTTAATACATTATAAAAGTAAGATGTAGAGTAACATATTAGTTCTATGTAGAAGACAGATTAAGGGTGTTTTAGCATCAAATAACTCATATGATTTCAGAGAAGTCATAATGTGTTTATACAAGATATTTTAGGATATCTGCATATTAAAACTTTTCTAACAATGAAGTAGATGATCCTAAGTCTCTTCTCAGTGTTGAAATAATGCTATCAAAATATTGTTGAAGAAGGCATGCGAGTATGTGTTATGGGGTAATTGACCTTATAAAATATAAAAATTAATATGAAAAATGGGCTTAGTGAACAAAAGTGCTTATTTTAGAGTTTTGTTGAAAAGGCTTTATTTTCAAGATGGATTACTTGTATTTCTTTATTTTTACAAAGAATGAGAGATGGTAGGGAGAGAAACTGCTGGCAGTTCTGTAAACACAAAATGCTTACTGCACTTAATCAGGAAAGGTTTTTAACCTTTCACCTTGCTTTTTGTTCATCTGATTATTACTTCCATAATAATTTTAATAGTGTGCATATTTTTAAAGTAACAAAATGAATTAAGCATCAGTGACTACCCTTTACTATCTAATGAACTGCACCTAGGCTCTAGTTAGGCCCAAGGGTCACAAGAAACATCCCCTGAAGAATCAGGAGGATGGGGAGCCCTGGGAGCAGCTTCAAGAGAGCCCTGGGAGCAGTTTCAAGATAAGATGTGGTAGGTCTAGACCCTCAGAGATCCCCAAGGGTCATCCTGGATCCTTCCTGCCAACGTCCCTGGAGACCTTCTGCTCCTTCAGGTGACCTGTCAATACTGGCCTGAACATCCCTGGCTGGTTTCCTCCCACAGCTGGGTCTCAGGAGCCATTATGACCTTGGGGACAGATGATGACAGATCACCAAGAAGGGATGTGATGGTCCAGCTCCCAAATCCTTGAGGCACAGGCTGCCCTCCCAGTAACACGGGAGTAAGTGCTCCACTGCCACAGCTCACTGAGGCTGTCAGAGCCACACTGGCATCTCACAGCCAATGTGACACTGTTTGAATTTCCAAATTCACAACCACAGTGGTAGAATGTAGGCCAGAATTCACCTCGTTCAAGTCTACTCACCTACAAGTGAGTGATGTGCTCTAACCTCGCTGGGCTAGGCTCCTGCAGTGTCACTGCAAGACACCAGAAAGCCACACACCCCATCCCATGATAAGGATCTGGGATGAATCACCTTTGTGGCTGCCTCCACCTCTCCAGAGGAAGCCTAGGAAAATAGCTAGGCCAACTGCTTAGCTTAGAGATGTACAAAGTCAGGTTAGATTAATGTCATGAACTATGTTTTTCAAAAAAAAAAAAGTTACATCAAGGTTTTCCTGCTAACACTGTTGTTACAATAACAGCAAAGCAGATTTATCAAGCTACCTACTTTGCATTTGTGTCAATGCTCCTGGCAAAATGAAATTAGTTCTGTTCAGCTGTGTCTTTGGCACTGCACATCCCTGGCAGAGGCCTCCTTACAACACATGGGTATTCTTTTAGCTTCAGGGAGAGGAGTCTTTGTCTTTCAGGACAGAAAGCTTGAGCTCATTTCAGGATGCATTTGTGAGGCTTTGAAAGGCCATGGTGTGCAATATCATTAGTTACTCTGAGGTGACAGATTTGTTATAATCTATAAAACTAGGTTCCAACTGTGAAAACGCAGTAAACAGTGCTGCCCACAGAAGTATGTCTATGCATGCACTGAAATATTTAAAAGACCCAGCCTTTGATGCTAATTTTACAAAACTCCCCTTTGCTCCTTCCAGCTGGAACTCCTTCCCACCATGCCTCCCAGCCCTGGCAGTATCCAGCAGGACACACTCCTCTCTCAGACAGGGCGCTCTGAGGAAGTGCTATTAAATCAGAGTTACTGACAAAAAAGGTGTTGGTATTTATAGAAAATGAGGAACTACCTCAGAAATTCTACAGATGGAATTGTGCCTATTGTATCAACATGTCCTGCTGGATAAAAATAGGAATGACAATATCTAGGGTGTCCTGCCCATTAGTCCAACTGGTGATGAGTAATGCAGCCAAATGCACGTCAGTAAATCCTACCTACCACACCATGCTTCACAAACCCTCTTGGCACTCTTCTTTAACAGAGAAGCCACAAAAGCATAAAGGTTCAATCTGCATGTATTTGAAATTATTATACCATTTATGAGGCAAAGATTCAAATAAGGTATATTAGTTGCTCCAAATACGTCTCAGTAAAAAACTATCTCTTGTATCCTCTTCAGAAAACTCCCAAGTGTTACAGAAAATTTGGTGAAAGTTACACTTTCAATTGGAGAAATCAGGTTGGTTTAGTACAAAAGACCCAAATACATTAGTCAAAGACAAAAAACCTGAACTCTCTGATACTCAGAGCTTTTGGAAAAGGATCTGAAGAAACTCTTCTGGAAATCAAAATGTAATGTTTAGAAGTAATTGGATCACATGGATTTAACATCTTACTGTCTGGTGTTAGCCTCAGACAGAACTTGAGTCTTGCATGAGCATCCTCCTGAAAGCCTGAGTGATCAGCCTTCAGTACCATGAAATGCTCCTGCCCACTCCTGCATCTCAGGCCAGTCTAGTTCTGGAACAACACCCTCTTTCAAGCATGCAGAAAAAGTGGTTTTGTGCTGGACTAGTGCTGGTGCCTTGGGTTCTTTATCAGAGTGGGTATTTGAAACTTCCTGAGGTCTTAAGTCTGAGAGTAAGAGCCAGAGCTGATGTACCAGAAAGTATTAGATGAAGTGGTGAAGACTTTTTACTACATAAATGTATGGAGCCACACAAAGGAATCTTTTCTCTAATTTTCTGGCTCTTTATTTCTGATGTAAATACTATGCACCAACGAGGGAAGAGAAGCTTGTACAGGAAGTTGTATTTTAAGTAAAGGTACAGTAACAAGAAAAAGTAATGATTTCCCTTAAAATAAGGAGCACTTAAATAGTGCAATGACATTCTTGTGACACTAGCCTTTAATCCATTGCCCAAAGTAAGGAGCTTCTGGTTTACTTGCTTTTTTAAACATGGCCTTGGAACACCATCTATTTCTGATTAAGAAGGGGAAAAATTAGTAAGTAATCCCAGGGCTCCAAGGAGCTATTCACAAGCCCAATGTTTAGATGTAATCTTCTGGTGATTACGTAATAGTTTCCCCTCTGCCCATTCCAGAGTGGATATGAGATACTACAAGTCTACATGCCTGGTCTTGAATGTTTAGTTCCAGGTGTGAGAGCTCATTGCAGCTGCCTAGAGAAAGGCCAAGTGTACATGTCATTCTGGGAGAGATAGGTCCTAATTCCAAGGATAGGCAATAGAAGGTGGTGTGCCACCCCACTCAGGGTTAGGCTCTAGGAGCTATGTGGGAGTTGGCAGACACAATTAACAAGCCTGAAGTAACAATTGCCTTGAGAGCCAGCACAAAATAAAAGGCAGGGGAGCAGCCCTCAAGTAGTAAAAGTAAAATAACTGCAAGAACAGCAGGACAAATCTAATCTCACATAAAAACACCAATAACCCATCTGAGACCTGGACATGAAATCGACACACTGATATTAAGGAACACAGACCACAAGAAACAAGAAGCTTGGAATCCTCCATGGAATAAACTCAGTGATTGGCTTTTCTGTGGAATATCTGCCAACTCCTGCTGCACACAGTGGTCAGAAGGGCATTTCATAAGTGTTAGAGTGAGCATTTACACCTACCAAGATGTGGAGAAAATAAAAAGAAAAATCCAAGCACGCTGTTATTCTGTCCAGTGCAATCCACTGCAGCAGTGACATGGTGGCCTGCTGTCTTTGCAAATCCTGGCCACACCTGACTCCTAAATATATCTGAAAATGCCTGATACATCACAGATTTTGCAAGGTGATATCTAGAATAGTCCCAGACAGATAAATCCTACGTGCAAAGCAAGTCTGACATGTCAGACTCACAGCATATGCAATATTGTCCTGCTCAGAGGAGTTGCACAGTAAGTACCAACCTGGCAGCACACCCTTCGCACATGCATGTTTAATCTGTCCTTACAGAGAAGTCTGAGCTCTCCCAATACATCCTGCACATCCAGAAAACACCTGTGGCAATGGAAATGCAGGGAAACCATGCTAGGTATGCTCTTCCTACGAGAAATTGCACTGA